CTAAAGTGAGTTTGACGTTGTATTTTGTTGTTGCATTCAAGCAATTGACGCTGAAAGTAAAATGCACACGGCGCTGAAAGTAAAATGCACACGGCGCTTTTAACGAAGGAAAGCAGGAAAAGAGGGAACGCCCCCGCCCCCACGGTGATCCAGCCCGGGGTCGTCACATGTGGTTGCCGTGAGCCCGCCGGACGATCCTTCGTCGAATCCGCCAGCCGTTCCTCACTCTAGGCCTTAGGAGAAACAATAATGTACAGTATGTGGAAAATGTGTTTTTTTTTACTTTAAACTGCATAAACACATTTCATTACCGCAAATACACAAAATAATGTTATTTTTAGCAACATCATATGACCCCTTTAATGGGATTGGTTTCCCCACACCAGAATGCAGCAACAAAGCAGCTATGATGGACTGCTATGATGAAGCAGAATTGAAATCCTGCGCATAAACATTTATTAAATACAGTGGTGGCCAAACTTATTAGAACACTAGTATTTTCACCAGCTAAAAAATGGTTTTAAGTCAGTTATTTCTATCTTTTGCGGTAGTGTGTCAGTAGGAAATATCAGTTTACATTTCCAAACATTCATTTTGCCATTAATTGTAATAATCCAGTGAGATTTTTGTTTGTACAAGGAGTCTGACAACAGCCAGTGCTTCACACAGTACTGTACTGTAGTGTACTGTACTTTTAACAGTACTGTAGCTTTGCAGGTAGGTTTCTTGAAGCATCTTGGAGACGTTGCCACAGTTCCTCTGGATTTAGTCTGTATTTAACACTATTCTTGTGGTTCAGTGCAAGCCGATGGCTATTGATTGGATGGAGGCAGAATGTTAGTTTGCAGTCAATTATAAGAAAGGGGTATAGTTTAAGCAAACTAAATAATTGGTCCAGCATACAGTATGTTACCAGAAAGAAGGCTGCCATTTTCGCTGGAAGATCGAGTTTTGACATTTTGAATAACATTACGAGGTCAAATGGTCAAATTTTAAAAAAATTAAATTAAACATTTGCATGGATGAATTCTATAACATGAATTTACCAAACAGACAGGGTGAATTGTCATGTCATGCTAAGTTATTACCAAGTTACTGATTTAATATCAGCAACTAGACATTCCTAGAAGAAAACTACTTCTGTTTCAAGACTTTTAAAAGTATTGAGCACTGATAAATATCTGTGATCTTAATGTCATTTGTAGAATCATCCTGAATTGGTTGGTGAATTATGGACATGTCCATTCAATGCACGCCACTTGATGAGAAAACATGAGCTGTCCCATCACATCTCAACCTGTGTGGACCGATGCTCTGTTAATGACTCCTGCGGTAAGCTCTGTTTAACCCCTTCACCTTCATCATGTTGGGTTATTGCAGACACACTCCGTGCATAATGAATGCTTAATGTTCAATGGCAGTGGCCAGTGACAAGACTGATAGCAAGTTTCAAATCCCAGTGAGCACCTGGACTGCGCCTGTGTGTGATGAAGACTGGGATGAAGGTATCACATAGATCTGTATCCTGAGTTAATGGCAAATTATTATACCCCAAAGATCAAATTTTGCACTTGTCAGTGTGCATAATATGGGCATTTTAACATTGGATGGTGTCTGTGCCTTACAGAGGTCGACAAGCATGTAACATCAGCGCCATCTTTTATCTGGGATGTGTCCAAATCACTTCCTCAGGACAGGTCAGTATAGAGCTAACTTCACAACAACATTACTGAATCATACGCAGTAGCATTTAGGATTCCGTTTTTTCATAGTTGGCAGTGGATCCTTTTGATCAGATTGGTTGAATTTTCAATGAAAACAACAAAATCGTGACAGCACATCTCTCTTTGTATTAGGGAAAACCCCAGCACTTCCAGCAATGTGATTGCTGGTCTCAGAGCACCACGAGTTCTTCCCTGGATGAGCAGCTGTACTGATTTTTGAGTTTTTTAATGTGTCAACCATGTCAAGAATATTCCTGTACAAATGACATTGAATCCTGATAGTGTCGGTTGCTTGTTCTGGCATTTCTTGTATAGGGTCACTAGTTCTTGCCGTGACAAATTAGTTTTCTAATCTTCAGTTTAGTTTCCCAAAGGTGGAGCAGTAAAGATGGTTTAGGTTCTTAGCTGTGTTTACACCAAACAAAAGAAAAGCTTACGACCAGGATATACAGAAAACAAGACTTTAATTGATGTGTTTTGTGTTGTCATAGTTGCTTTGTGCCTGTAATTCTACCTCTGTGGTCTGTTAGGAACGCCTCTTTTTGGTGAAAAAAAATAGTTAGTAGTTTTTTTCTTAGACAAATGCTGTTCATAGCACAGATACCGTTGTAAAGGCAAATAAAACTTAATTTATAAATGCTAAAATGTGAATATTCAAATTCCTGTGAGCCTTACCAAGTTTGTAGTTTGTGCCAACATCAGACTGGCATATTTTCTTCAATAAAGCAATAGTGTTCTCTTTAATTTTGTCCTGATCCAAGGTAGCAATTTGTCTGTCCTCGTCTTTCAAGAATATGTCAGATGATCTTTAATGGAAGCACAGGATAAAGTTATAAAGTATCGTGTGCAAAACTGTGAAAACTGTCATTTAAGACAAACCACATGGCAGAAATTCTACTTGAAATATTCATAAAATGATACAAGCACTTACTCACAAAATGAACTGGTTGTTTTGACCAGCTTGGTTTTGACGAGTCCGATATCCCCAGTTCTCTCCAATTTTCCCATAAACCAATCAAAACAGGCCACCAGCAGGCCCAGGATGATGATACGTTCACCAGCCTGGAAACTCAGTTCATCTGGCCCGTTGGCATCATACTCGTCTGTGGTCTCGCAGACCCCTACTGCTGTGACAGATATTGTTACAATTGTGGTAGAGTTAAATTGTGATGATGACAATGCCGCACTGTTACATTATTATTATTATTTATTTTTTTTCTTTTTAGTTCCTAAAAAGTTTCTAAATATATAAATCTCAGAGTAAATCCTCCAGATTTTGTGTGCAGCTTATAACCACTTACCCTCTTCACTTATCCTCAATAATTTTCTAATCATTTTTTTTTATTCTAAAGCTTTTTGCTTTTTCAAATTTAGTAATTTTACAATCCAAAATTAGCTGTTTTAAATAAATACTGTTCTTTTGAACGTTTTATTCATCAAAGAATCCTAAAAAAAATAATAGGCAGCACAACCATTTTCAACTACATTAAGAAAATGTTTTCTAATAAGAAATCAACAAGAAATCATTTTTTAGCACCAAATCAGCATTTTACAGTGATTTCTGAAGGATCATGTGACACTGGAGACTGAAGTAATGACTGCTGAAAATTCAGCTTTGCCATCACAGGAATAAATTACATTTTAAAAGATATTCAAATAGAAAACAGTTAAATAATATTTCACATTATTACTGTTTTTACTGTATTTTGGATCAAATAAATGCATTCGTGGTGAGCCTAAGAGACTTCTTTCAAAAGCATTACCAAATCTTACCGACTGCAAAACACAAAACAGGATATATAAAATATTTTCTCACCAATCTGGAAGGGAAGGTCACTTGTGTCCTTTCCACCACCCACTAATATACTCTCTGGGCAGGACTTTAGAAACCACCTTGGGAAGCAAAAAAAAAAAAATCCATTGTTCTTAGTTCTGTTGATTTTGTCAATAAGTTCATATGAAATTCATAAGGTGACACATACTCATGAAAGGGAATGACCGGCTCCAGAGCTGGTTTTGGTTTGGTTCCTCTAGCCCCATCTGCAAGTGACAGCACTGTCCACCCTGATCCTAGGAATGGAGGCTCAAACAAAGCGATATCCCCCTTCTCCAGATAAAGGTCGCTCCCTGACGTAGAGCTATCAAACATCTGATTAGCTGTGCAGCATCCAAAGAAAGACCCTAAAAAGTAAGCAATATTGTTTTACTACAAATAGCAGTGATATTCACTCATACGTGTGCCAGTCTGTTTCTGAAATTAAATATAACGTATATAGTGTGCATAAACACTATGTATTTACCTTCTTGCATTAGAAAGCCTTTATACATCAGATTTAGTGTCTCTTCTTTAATTGCGATCTCAATTCCTGAATGCTGATCAAGGGAGATTAACCAGAACTCCTGGTTCATGAGAAGGTTTTCCATACACTGACCCAAGAAGCCTGGTGGAAATTACACATTTGGTAAGTCTTATGAGATATTATCTTTTAATATACACTACCGATTATTGATCCTTCAGAAATCATTCTAACATGCTGATTTGATGCTCAGTTATTATTGGTGCTTAAGTTATTAATATCGGTTTTCATTATTATTATTATTATTATTATTATCAATGTTGGATTCTTTGATGAATACAAAATTCAATAGAACAGTATTTTTATGAAATAGAAATCCTCTTTAACATTCTTAGTGTCTTCAATTTAAGGCATCTTTGCTGAATAAAAGAAATATTTTCCCCCCTTTTTCTCTTTCTCAAATCTGTCTTACCCCAAACTTTTGAATGGTATAGTGTATCATGGTTTCCACAAAAAATATGAAGCAGACATTTTTTTTCAACATTGATTATAATAAGAAATGTTTCTTGAGCACCAAATCAGCATTTCATATTTTTGAAGGATCATGCGATGCTTTTAATCATAATAATTTCACAATATGACTGCTTTACTGTATTTTTAATCAAATAAATGCAGCTTTGGTGAGCATACATAAGAGACTAAAGAAACATATTAAAAAATCTAACTTTTGGTAGTGCACCTGACTCTTACAGTACTTGACATTATTAATAATACAATACAATGTTTATTTACTGTATATAGCACATTTAAAACAACCAAAGTCGACCAAAGTGCTGCACAGAGTATGCAAAACAGAACAAGTCAACAAGATTACAAAGCTATAAAACAAATGCGTACAACATAAATGCATACAACATTATATCTGTGGCACTGAAATAAGAACAGACCCATTTTGTGGTATGTGCTGAACTTCCATATTTCTTCAAGTGTTTTAAAGGTGATAAATATAGTCCTTTCCTCACTATTGATGGATACAAAATGAGCAGACAACTCCTGCAAGACAGGGAAGCAAGTATGTTAAATACATTTCAGAAAGGTTTTGAATATTTGATGTGGTCTGAATAGGGATGACCATACAGAGATTAAGGTCACGACCCCTGAGAGGTCAGCTTCGAGCACACAAAGTTTCCTGCAAAGCACTTCCTGTGTGCCCTCATCGGCAGGAAGTCGATCTGGCCCCTCCACCATAGCCAGCTGCATAGCCAAAACTGCAACAGGAAACAGCTTATAGTTAACATCTACCACTGCATCCAACACTAACAGATCAGCCTACACATGGAAAATATTCCAGTCAGCTCTAGTAAATGTGTAAGGAAAGTGAATTAGTGATGTAAAGAGGCCAGTCAGTTAATATAAGGTGACATAATAAACCAAACCTTTATACTGCTGTAAATTCCAGGTCTAGATCTACCATTGACTTATAATCTAAAACATTCATCTCAAGAGCAATATTCGTGGTTCAATCCACAGTTTAGATTTTGTGTTTTACCATAATCATGTGATGTTTCACTGATGTGTTTAACAGAGAGGGTTAATAAATGACAGTCAAGTGGGATTTGTAAAGTCCAATGTATGATCTCTAAAAGTTACTCTTTTTTGAGTGTCACCAAAGCGGGTCAGAGTTCAAATAAAGGAATAGTTCATCAAAAAACTGAAATTCTGTCATTTACTCACCCTTCTCTTCCTACTGTGGAACATATAAGAAGATATTTGGAGAAACCGTTCAATACGGTCACCAAAACTGTTTGGTTCCCAACATTATTTAGAATATCTTCTTTCATGTTTCATTAAGTCGTACAGGTTTGGAATGACATAAATTGACTCAGAAACCAAGAACTGCCAACTCTGGGCAGTTCTTCTACACAGTATTCTATTATTATTTGAGATTATTATGTGATTAAGACAATGGAGGCAATTTACAAAGTCATCAGGATTTATTCACATCAGTCACAGTGTATTAAGAGGTAGTTAGTATTTTATATGGCGAGCTGGATTCACCTGTTGGTATATTATCATCAGAAGCTCCTGAAGTACCTTTGATGCTTCCTCTTGAGGTCTTAAAATCTGAAAAGAAATTTACACACTACAAGCTTAGTCCTAACAATGACGTGGGTCATTTCTGTAATGCTGTAGGCTACCTTTTGAACACTTTACTAGATAATTGTGTTGTAGTTTAAGGAATTTTACATCAGCCTTTCAGAAATGCATATAGTCATGTACAGACATTTAAACGTTAATAATTCTAACTTAATTAGGCTACCTTTACAACAAACTAACAGGATGGAAATGAAAACCTGTTAGCCACTGAGGATATACAGGTAGCTTACGAGGCTGTCAACTTAACTTTCATAACTGATCTTTTGAACGTTTTAGAGACAAACCAGTTAATGCCACACAACATCACAGAATCCATTAAATCCATTACTAATATATATTGATGTTTGTGCTGTTGCTTTCCCACCAAAATGGTGATGTCACTTCCTGGAGGATGATGCCATTGTTAGTGTCAGGGATTTTACAAAAGAATAACAGGATGGAAAGTGAAGGACACTGAAAAGTTAAATAAAATGATTACCAACTGATTCAATGTTCATAAGATCCAAAACAAGAAATACCTATAATTTTAGATTTCCATTCTTCTGTGCTTAGAAGTCATTGCATAGCACTTGGAGAGCAACATCTGCTCAAACCAAAGAATTACAATTATTTAGAATTCTCCCATATGTTCACTTAGGCTAATTGAGAAATTGTGAAAAAAAAAAAAAAAAAGATTTTCATAGGCCTATTTTATAAATTGTTTTAATAGAGATTTTTATCCAGTAGCCTATCAGGCAGTGCAATATGTATTGCCAAATTATTCAAAACGTACGATCAACTTCATACGTTCATTAACATACGAATGCATCACATATGTTAAGAAACACTTTTTTCTTTTTATTCTCTATGCTGTTCGTGCTGCTCAACCGCGTCCCTACCTCTAGATGAAGACTCCATAATAGTATCCCATTCATTGTGTGTGTACTCAGTCGACAGCTCTCTGCGTATCGTCCGAATTCCATCCGGATCGGACTCCACGCCGTTCCCGGTTTTGGACGAGTTTCTACGAACCGCGGCTGACATCCCGTCAGAGTTCCGAGAGGAGAAGCGAATGGTAATGTCGATCACGCGCTCATCGCGCTGTCACCAAATAAAAGCGCACAGGTGGCGGAACTGATTTTACAAGACTGCACGGACTCATGTCCTTAATGGTGAAGGCGAAAAGAAAATGAACGTCCAGAACCACAGGCAACAGGTCCAGCTACTCCCTACACCCCTGTCGGAGGTGTGTGTGTTATGTGATTTTGGCATCAGTAAGCATTTTTGTTTTTAAAAATAAATAACCTTGGCACGCAAAGTTTCAGCAAAAGTTAATAATCACACGGTGTGAGTAAAGAAGTAAAGAATTGCTGGTGGTCCGTTTTATGAGTGTAAACTTAGTAGGTGTGTCTCTGTGTATTTGGGTGAACTCAGAAAACTTCAGAGGAAGAGTGTCAGCATTTCCCCTTCCTCTCTGGTTGCCTAAAGGAAAGTGGAGTTTTAAAACCCTTGTATTATGTGGGTACATTTTTTATGGTGGGGGTCAAATTGACCCTAATTGGCTTCAATACAGTTAATCAAAAACCATTAAAAGGGAAAAATCGGGCAAAAACAGCAAACATTTAACATTAACACTGGTCTATAAACATTTATCAGTAACTCAAACTTATGTGTGCCAAGGTTTTTGCCAAGGTTATTTCTTTTTAAAAACAAAAATGCTGCCATAACACAATTTCAGTGCTTTCATAATGCATACATTATAAAATAAACACATTAACATATGATTTTTAATATTAACTATTTCATAAAAAAATTTTTATCACCTGTGTGAACTTTATAAAAAGTACTGTAACTATTTTTTTTTTTAAATTTGTTTTGAAAAACAACATTTTAAACACAACAAATGTGGACAAGCACCACTTCTGTGTGCTTCCCTGACGCTCAAACTAGAGCATGGCTACGCTAAGATCATGGGTTCAATTCAAACTGATCAATATCTATGCCTTCAGTGTAAGTTTCTTGATAAAAGGGTCTGCTAAATGTATAATGTAAATACCCTCACAGGGAAGTTGAGAAACTGACATAAGATACATTGTAGTTAATTAATTAAATTAATAATTAATTACATTGTAGTTGCCTGTAAACATCAAAATCTGAAATTTTGTATGCACATTCCACAACAACAAAGCAAAATCTTTTGCAGGCATGTTCATGATCATAAATGAGAATAAGTCACAAAATCATATAGATTAACCAATATTTCCAACAATTCAAAAATTGTAATGGGTCAAAGTGCCCCGGCAAGAAATGTCAATTGCAGTAATTATAATTAATGCAATGATTGACAGCTTATTCCTTCTTGAAATTATTCCCAGTTTGAAATTATAGTGTATTTGCATTCTGGAAAACTGCAATTTATGGATTCTTGATTACAGTAGCCTACAGTGTTTTTATCTCCCCCTTAAAATCTAGTCGAAGTGTATTAAGATAGAAGTGTATTATGATAATAAAAAATGAAACAATGTAAGTAAAAAGAGATTATAGCCTAAAACTTTGGCAAAAGCTCTCCCTTTTCCAGGCAGTTGGTGTTCCAGCATTCCTGGATAATCTAGTTATGTCTCCTAATTAATATTCATGAGACAAGCCTTTCTAGCCCTAGAGCTTTCAGGTTTGGCTTATGTGTGCCCACTTACCAATATCTATTAACAGAATATGGAAGAAAAGAATGAATGAGGAGGGTATTCTATGGACATAAAAAAAAGATGCATTGTGGTAGAATGGCAGTTATTTATAGCCTAATCAAGTCCTGGTTGATGACTATTTTATTTTATTATTATTTTTTTTTATTTTACTTTTCAATATATATTTAATTAGAAAGGGAAGGAATAAATAAAAAGAAAGACAATTTTTTTTATTTTTATTTAGGATGAAGTAAAGTAATATAAAGCCCATTCCTATTTAAGCAATTACATTTAGCGTCATTAGTTATGAATGAATGAATGAAGTTTGAAGGCGGCTGAATGGATATTCGGGTTTTTGAACCCCCAAGCGCCCTCTGGTGGAAGACGTCCAATATGTGGTTATTAGTTTGCAACATTGAAATCGAGAAATCCACCTGCTGGCTGTTCTGATAGAACAGTCAGTGCAAAACTATGCTAAAATATGGTTTGGTAAGCAATTAAACATTAAATTAGGCTTAGAAATAATATGCTCAAAATCGTTTAAATAGTTGATATTGACAACTACGCATCGATTCTCTATTTTTCTGCAGTAATTAGGTAAAGAGTCACTTTTTGCAGTGCATGTTTTTACTGATCTCTATGTGGGCCTATTGAGTGTAGAAAACATCTCTGTTACGTATGTAACCTTGGTTCCCTGAATAGGGAACGAGATGCTGCGATAACGTCATCGCTATGGGAACACCTCCGGTGTGACGAATGTCTGAAACCCTTATACCATCACGCCAATTTATTGGCCAATAGCGCTTAGCACCGCCCCAAGCATACATCATGTATGCTCATAAAGTAGTCGGGCAACTAATGCTTGGTAGCTCGAAGCGCCAAATCATAGTGCACAACAAACATCTGCTGCAGGACTCCTCAGAGTCTGCATCTAAAAAGAGTACACGAACAAAGAGTTGGAAGCATAAGCGCCAAATCAAATGAACGTGTCTGCATTAGTACAATGCAGCTGGTAACGTTAAAGAGAGAGGAGGAAACCCGCCTACTCACTGTTATAGCTTGCTATAAGCAATACTCTGAAACACGTGAGCTCTTCCACTTATTTGTTTCAGCTCAATGCAGCAGCGGAGTTGAAAGAAATAGTAATTAGTCGGGCAAACTAATGCTTGGTAGTTCAAAGCGCCAAAAACATAGTGCACAAATAACTTCTGCTGCATGACTCCTCAGAGTCTGCGTCTTGTCTGCATTAGTACAGCGCAGCTGGTAACGTAGAGAAAGAGGGGTGAAAACAATCCGCAGCCGAAAGAATCGATTAGAGCTTCCGGAGCGGGAATCAGATTTGACTAACCACCTGACTCACGAGGCGCTCTTCTGATGAACGCACGCGGTCTGGGGAAGAGAGCCAGAGAGAAGGGGATTAATTCCATTCTTTCACTCTCTGTACACTCAGGCTCATCGCCATCACCCCAAGCGTCGAGCTTGTGCGGCGCCTCATCAACCGCAGAACTGGAACGGCGGGGGTTGAATGAACATCTCTCCTTCCTCAGAAAGAGAGCAGCCCATAACGCAACTTACTCACAAACACAGATATCACGGATACAACAATAGATAAAGGCCGCAAAGCGGTCTTCCTACCTGTTTCCTCGTGAGTCTGTGTAACATGCATCCATACATAAGCCTACCGGAAAACTCATTGTGTCCGCCTTAGAGGAGTAAACTGCTCTATATAAATAGATGGCTTAGAACACAAGAATCTCTTTCCAATGGGCAACAGATGATTCGCTTCCTGAAGGAATTAAAATCTGATGAAATAGCGCGCAGCACGCATATATGAGCATACGTGACGTGCTTGGGGCGGTGCTAAGCGCTATTGGCCAATAAATTGTCGTGATGGTATAATGGCTTCAGACATTCGTCACACCGGAGATGTTCCCATAGCGATGTCTTCATCGCAGCATTGAAGTGAACCTATGAGAGGGAACTGTTATTTAGTTCTTGCATTGAACTGCACCGTGTTTATGTTTCCATGTCTGTGTGACTCTGGGATCTACGCTGCGGTGCAACATCTCTCTTTGTCTTTTGTTTGGGCGTTATATTAGCCTGTACTGCTAGTTCTGCCCTTGTGAAAAGATAAACAAAATATCGTTGTTCTTAATATGAGCTTGATATATAAGCTTCGTTGTTGCTTGAAATGTTCACTCATATGATGTTTCTTTGTTTAACAGCTGGAAGAACACATGAATGTAAAAGAAGAGGAATCGTGACCTTGGATGTTTTGTATTGAAATGATTGCAATATTGTAAGTGGTATTAAATTGTATTTGTATTAAAATGGTTAAAAAAAAAACTAATTTAAAAATGATTAAAACACTATTACACAATAGTTCTGCTGAACAGTTGTAAATAATTGTTAAAAAAATAAATGCGATAAAGCTTCCAAGTGTTGTGATCAGAGTTTCACCATTAACATGCATATAAGAGATTTGGGCTAGTTGGCACAAGGGCTACAATATGAGTAATTAAATTCTTGCAATGATTTTGTATTTTGATTTTAAACAGTTAATTTATTTTGCAGTACATGTTGAGTAAATAATCAAACACAATAAAACCCCATTCAGTTTAACATACGAAGAGTTTATTTGCAAAATCAGATAACTGTGTTTTATTGTGTTAGTTAGCTGTATTTTTTTAAATTTATTTTTAACCTAATCAAAATAACCCAACTACAGTTTGATTGAGATTAATTGGAATGCACAATGAAAAAAACATGATTTTTGAAAATTGTTAAAAACGGAGTTATCTGTTTTTGCAAATGAACTCTTCATATTAGGACAGAGGTATTTTTTTATAATTGTCTGTGCGTATTATCACTTGTGCGTTATAAGTTGTAATTTTATACAACTTAATTTACTCACATTAATTTAATGTCTTGTGCGTCATTATTGTTTCCCTTTCTACTTTCTACTTTTCGCTTTCTACTGATTTTATGTATTGTTGCATACAGTAGCCTACTAATGTCTCTGTGTAATACTAGTGATGTTCGGTTCTTGAACGAATCGTTCTTTTGAGCCGGTTCTCAGGAAGTAACCGGTCGAATCGGTTCACAAATCGAACTGAATCGAACTTTAGTTCCGGGTTGATGACGCAGGACAGTTATTGTTTTTTCAAGCATTTAATAAAACAAACAAACAAACAAAAAACAGAAAAGTCACGGCACGCTAAGGGGTCTCTGTTGTAACTTGTAAGTCTGAAGGGAGGCAAGCCTCCGCTGTAACTTTACCTGCGGGTGTCGCTGTTGGACAGTGTTACTTTATAAAAACAAGTGACTTTTATACTTTTAATGCCATATTTAGTAATAGTTGCGATTTATTTTTGTAATATCAATTATTTTGTCATCCAATTTTTTTGAGGGGACACTGCCTCCCTTGCCTCCTCGGAGGGAACGTCCCTGCTGTGTGTTTCCAAACACTGTTGAAAGGGACATTTAATTGAATAAATATGAGATGCTCTATAACAGCACTGAAAAATTACTGCAAAATTGCTGTAAAAAGTTAGCTTACACATGTATAATTTTGTCACTCGTGATAATTTTGTAGTATGTTACTTACGGTATTTAACTCACATTTACTATATTTACTCTGTACTTGCTCTGCATTTATTTTTTATCCTACCAATGTACTTATATTCATTGTAAATATTTGTTTGTTGAGTATAATACTGTACATTGTGAGCATATGGCCTCCGTGGACCTCTGTCTTGTTTCATCTTAAAATTATAGAATCTGAATAATACTACTTAAGATCACTACATAAAATTCTGCTATATTTCCCAATTATTTGTGTGTGAGTCAATCAATCTGTCTTTCTGTCTGTTTGTGCCAGGATACAGTTTTGTTCCCTTAAAGGAGATTTAAACTTGGGTCATTCCATGTGTGTTAACGGTGACAGTGGGACATACAGTATGTTTTGGGTGAGTTACTACTATTTTTGCAGGCATGCAGTAGGGTTTTGATGTCCCATAAAACAATGTTATGTTAACAACATATGTTATGACAATTATAACATTGGGGGGAATCAACTTATTGGCATTCAGCACAAGAATTTCTCATCAAGCAACTAAACAAATATGCTATAATTCAGGCCATTCATTCAAAGCAAACCAGAAAAGGCTTCAACATGTCTCTTTGTTTGACAATCCCTATTGAGCTCTGCAATGAGTTGTGTGGAGCATAACTTATATATATAATAATTAAATTATTATATTTTATATATATAATAGTTAAATGTTTTTCATTCATACAATAAATGTTGTTACTGGGTCAGTGTGTATCAACTCAACCATGCAGTTTTAGATCTTGATCATTTTCGTCTGGTGAAAGTGGTACGTATTAAGTACAAGAAATATTAAATGCATGGATTAATATACTTAAATAATATATTTCAGCAATCCTTAAACAAAATTGTATGCCAATGGTGACAGTTCCAAAATGTGAAAAAGCACTTTCCCCCAAAAAGTTTGCATGCCTGTAACTCAAGAAGCATTAAAGATATTATTTTTTTAGACTGTGGTTCTTAAAAAAATCTATCTTGTTTCCAACTATCAAAACAACTTCATGATTCCCCAGCTCAGCCAAGCTGGTCCACCAGCTTTGACCAGCTAATAACCAGCTTAAACCAGCTTGAACCAGCTACTATCTTAAACTGGTATTAGCTGGATCTTCCAGTAACAAAAATATAATCTAATAAATTGCAATTAAGGCGTATTGAATGTTAAAATGCGTTTCAATGTACATTTGGTCGAGCAAATGCTCTTTTCCTTTTCAACGAAATCGTTTTTCGAGCAATATAAGTTTAAAAGGATAAAACAATAACAAAGTAATCAAAAAAAACACAGTAAAAGGAAAGTATAATACAATACATCAGTAGTCTTTTGTACCTGCTTATACTGTGTGTACTGCGCATGCGCGTTGTGTGTAATTACAGATGGGATGGTGCGAGCAGCTCTCAACGGGACTCACACACACCGCCTGCGGGACAAACCGCGAGGAGGACACCGCGACCAGTCTCACAGAGCCAGTCACTGTCATCTAAACCGGCCTGACCGACCCACATCCATTGAGCGGTAAGACCTGAGACATTGTGAAAGTATCTGAACTCGCCGCTTTATATTTAAGCAGCTTTGGTGGAAGAGAGACGCGCAGTATATCAGTTTATAGCTACTACTGTAACTTTGATTGACAGTCAGCTAAACAGACCACGAATAATCACCCGGTTCAAATAAGTGAAATTAAACTTCAGAACACACATTTAAAACATGTTTATAGTGAGATATTTGGGAGTTTATGGCCGGAGGGAGCGGATAAATCGGGACAGTAGTTGGCCAGTCCAAATTCTTTAACACGTACACTGTAAATATGATGTATGCTCACTGTGTCAACTTTCCTGCTGTAAATACACTAACTTACATCAAATGTCAACTAAATAAAGTCGTCTAACTATAAAAGAACTGTGTGAAATACAGCTATAAAGTGTTTTTGATTGCGACCGACCGTCGTTAAGTTTTGTCCAGAATAAAGGGTGTGTCTCTATCTGTCCTGAAAACAGCACGTCAACTTTCTAAACGTGTAGTGCACACGAGCTCTGCCATGCCAATTCTCATTACTTTCTCTTTCATTTCATTGATAGATGCTCACATTGTGCTGCAGGTGTGTGACAACTAACACGGACATTTTAACATGGATAACACCAAGATTTTAGAATAATATATATATATATATATATATATAAAGGAAAAGGAAGTATAAATAAAGTCACAACAATAAAATATTGCAACAATAAAAAAATTGCATTTTAATTTAATGCTGTTTAAAGTAGTTTTAGATTCATTATACTGTGTGACACTGCTATCATTACAGTGCTTGACATGTCATGTCAACTACCTGCAGCTTCATGGTTTATGACATCAACAATTCTGTGTTTTTCTGTCAATATGGGGTGCTGTGTGTACATTAATGAGGAAAAAAAATTAACTTAAATGATTTTAGCAAATGGCTGCAATATAACAAAGAGTGAAAAATTTAAGGGGGTCTGAATACTTTCCGTACCCACTGTATATATATAAAGCATTTTCCTAAACACCTGTAGTACCACAACAAATAGTTTATGCATTTGTTGTGATGTGTATGCAAAAAGGGGCCTTATTGGCTTGTTCAGTCACAGTGGAGATTTATTTATGAAATGCACATGAATTAAAATTGTAGCTTAAATATGTACATCACTACTAAGTAATAGAAGATAATACAGAAATTGTTATGAAATATGACGTGCTAAAAGTGATTGACATTAACGGTTAATAAGGTTTGCATTTAAAGTTGGGTAGTTGTTTTTACACAATTAAATGTGCATTTGTAGTGTACTTAAAAAACTGTACTTGCAGATAACATAATATTTATTAAATAAAAGGCCACTTACCTGTATTTAAAGTCACTTTCATGACTATGTTTCTAAAGACACGTAAGTAAATTTTTTAAAAGGGCACTTTGTTATGTCAAAATAAAATTTTCAATACATTTGTTAATAGTATTTTCTTTTGTTGTACTTTAAAGACATACATTTCTTTCGATGTGTTGACTAACATGCAGTACTAAAGCACATGTAAAGTACTTGATAGTTATTTTAACTGTATTGTGTTATATAATATTACAAAGGTAACATATTGTAAATGTACTAAGTTGCAATTTAATTATTACATGTGTAATTACAAATATATGACATACATGACAAACGAGTTTCAATAAAAATGACTTTAAAGTATGTTTACCACAAATACTTGTCATTACAGAAGACTTCAGCAGAAGACTTTAACCACATTTCAAAGACAGAAGTAATTATGAAATTACATATACAGATTTTGCCTACTTATTGTAATCATACTCAAGTGGGCCAAAAATCACTCTAAAGTTCAGCTAAGTGTATTTAATATAAATATAAACTATAATTATGCAGTTTATATGTACAGTTAAGTGTCTGAAAACGTTACATTCAGTTCACAGTTAAATATATTCTTTTGAGGTGTATTATTTCCATAATAAGTACTCTTTTTAAAAGTATGCTAAAGTGTATTTCTCATTCACACGGGTTTGAAAGTGGTTTCTATGGATACTTGCTGATTTAAACTGCTGGTGTTGGCTCTTGCTTTCTTGAACATAAGCCATTCTGACTGGCCATAAAACGAATAAACAGTGTGTTATGAGATGATCCATTTGTGCAGCTTTAACTGTCTGGTTGTGACCGGCTAGTCTAGAAGGCAATGTGCTTTGCTCAATTCATTAGTCACATCAGCAATACCACTTTGCCCATACCAAAAAAAATAAAATGACATGAAATGCCAGTAGTACCACAGTTGCATACTCTTACCTGCCGATGTTAAGTTTGGATAAACAAGACTTGATGAGATCTATTCTAAAACATATTTAACTGTTTGTCTGCTATCAGATATGGTCATTGATTGTCCAGTAGCTTTATATGTGTTGTAATCAATAACATTCTTCAGCATAAAGGAGATCAATGCTGGACTCATAAACCCATTAACAGTTGTGCGACCTCTGCCCACCTAGCACTGTTTATTCTGCCAATGTGGCTTTACAGTGATCTGTTGGTGCAAAATTGTTTTATTGGTATCAAGTGTAAAGGTACACTACCATTAAAAAATTTGGGGGCACATTTTTTTTTTGGAAGAAACTAGCCTAATACTTTAGTGTAGGGCTGTGCAATATATCGAAATTATCGAAATATCGCAAATGTACATATCGCAATATGCATATCGCTACAGCTTGCAATATTTGGGGCCATGAACAAAAGACAAAGAGAAAATCACTCACTGCTCTTACCTAAATAACTTTTGTAGCTTAAATAAGAATCAGTGCATATTGAATTCATAGAGTAAATACTAATCAGTGTTGTATTTTTCCTTTTTGATTACACTAATGTTAAAATGACATTTTTATGTAATGCTCGAGTAAAACACTAGCGTTCACTTTCAGAAGTTGTTGTAGGGGTGCTTTCTTATTAGAATCAGAATCAGAATGAGCTTTATTCACCACTTAAGTGTGCGCAAACACAAGGAATTCGTTGTGGTATAACCATATATATATGACACAAGATAGTTATAGAAGTTCACAGAACTGACTCAGCAACAGCTGAGTAAAACGGTTTCATCTGAGCATGTGGCACTTTAAGCATTATCGTATCGCATATCGAATATCGCATTATTTAATGAGTTATCGCATATCGCATTTTTCTTCAATATCGCACAGCCCTACTTTAGTGCATTAAAGGGTGCATTCAATTCATAGTAAAGACTTTTACATTGGTACGATTAACAATTTCTGTTTCAAATAAATACTGTTCTTTTGAACTTTCTGAAAGAAATGTATAATATTAAGCAGCACAACTGTTTTCAATATAATAAGAAGAAATGTTACTTGAGCACCAAATCAGCATATTAGAATGATTTCTGAAGGATCATGTGACACTGAAGACTAATGGCCGCTGAAAACACAGCTTTGTCATCACAGGAATAAACTACATTTTAAACTACATTAAAACAGTTATTTTAAATAATAACGTTTCACAAAATTACTGTTTTTACTGTAAATTTGATCAGATAAATGCAGCCTTAAGAAACATAAGAGACTTCTTTAAAAAAATTAAAACATCTCACCAAATTCAAACATTTGAACAGTAGTGTCTCCTTGTTGTTTTTCAGATGGCGGATGAGGAACTGGTGAAGAAGATGGTACGGGCGGTGCTCCAGTCCACTAAGAGTGGCGTGTCACTGTCTAACCTGCAGGTAGAGTATAAAGACCTGACGGGTGAGCTCATACCTTATAAACAGTTGGGGTATGCCACGCTGGATGCCCTCCTGCACAGCATGCCTTCGGTCGTGAAACTGGATAAAGGGCAGTCTGGGGAGGTAAGTCTCTCCCTTACCTTTTGAAATTCAGTTATTCAGCAGGGATACATGAATACTAAATCTTTAAATGGTTAAAAACCCATAGGTGGTATGCCATGCTACCACAGGAAACGAGATGACCCACGTTACTAAGCTTGCGGCCCGTCAGCGCACAGCTAAGAGGACCGGCCGACCTCAAGTGGTGAACTGTCAAATGAGAGTCAAACCAGCAGCTCCTCTTGCACTGAATGGTGAGACTCTGATTAGTTTTGTTAAATATGACTGCATGCAACTCTTACTTTAAAGTGTTATTCAGAATAATAACACAAAAGCTTATGTATTCAGATTTCAGATGATGTATAAATCTCAATTTCGAAAAATTGACCCTTATGACTAGTTTAGTGGTCCTGGGTCACACATAGAGAATGTATGCTAAAAGTACATTTGAAATAATCGTTAATTTAATAATCTATTGTCATGCTTTAAAGAAGTACATTTATTTTGATTTGTTGTCGAAAGCACATGTAAAGTACTTCATTATAATTTTAACTGTAGTGTTATGCAATGTTACATTTACAGTTAATATATTTGAAATGTACTACATTTCAACATAATCTTTACAAACATGTATAATTACAAATACGTGAAATGCAAGTTTCAGTAGAAGTTACATTAAAGCATATTTTAGTTTACAGTTTTGTTAGATGTGACTGTGAATGCAACATGTCTATGTGTTATCCATGAGACATTTTAAAGAGAATGTATGCTAGTGTCCTGTGCATCCCGTGTCTTTTTTGGTTGTGCGTGTGGCCTATTTAAACTCCTCTGAGGATGTGAGCACAGTTCTGGATGTACTAAGAATAAAGCTCTGCATTAGATCATTCAGATTACAGGTTGCGGCTGTTCTGGGAGCTGCAAACTCACTGTCAGCTTCAGGGTTTTCTGCGCTCACGCTGTCCCTTGATCAGTGACTCAGTATTTACTTGGCTTGCCGTGATACAGCAGAAAGCGGGCATCTGTATTGACCTAGAGGGAGGTTTGGAGACTGCAGTGTTGTGGAGAGGTACAGCAGAGCCTGCGTGGCTGTTCAGGGGAGGATTGTCTGAAACCGTTTCTTTTTTTTCTCCTCATCTGTTATTTAATGACTCAACTGCCGCTGCTGTGGTGATGCTCTGCCTGTTTTTGTCTACTTAGCTCACCATCTGCTGTCTTGCAGAAACGATCAGCCTGTGGAGCGCTTATCTCAGGAGGGCTGTAGACAGTGATAAGGTGTTAAATTGCTGCCACTTTTCCACGCTAGACCGGTTGGACGGCTTGCGCTGTTAGCAAGCAACCGGCTGAGTTTACTGCCGGGTTGGAAGATATGATGTCATTCTGTTACAGTCAGGTTAGTGGAATGATGTCATATTGAATGTGTATGAGAGAAAATGGGTTTGAAGTCCTGTTGACACAGTGTGAGTATGATGTAATTGTTATTTAGTTGAGACTAGTTTGCAGCTGCTGTTGCATTTCAAATGCTATGTGTAAAGAGGAGAGTAATATTTTGGTGCATGTTCTAATTTCTCGTGATTATGCTGACTTCCAGAAACTTCATGGTCATCTAGTTGGAGAATGTGCAGAGTTATACCTTATAGATTGTCTGTTAACTAAACTGATTTGTGTGCAATGATATATGTTTGATCTAGCTTACAGTGTTTGGCTTCATCTGTTTGATTAAAGGATTAAGCACAACAAACTGATATTTTTATAGTTTCTATAAAAATAGTATTTGTTCTATTGTTTCTATAGGATTTGTTAAAGAGATCAGAGAAAAAAAATCTGTTGTTGTTTACTTTCTCCCATGTTGTTCCCAACATGTGTGCTTGTCTTTCTTCCATGGAATACAAAGGAGAAATGGAGCACAAAAGGAGCAAAAGCAGTATCTACCCATAAAAGCGGTCCATATTACTGTTATCAATATTCCAAGTCTTCTGAAGCTGTATGACTGTTTTGTGTGAAGAACAGACAGATATCTAAGTCACAGTTCACAAAAAATATTGGCATTCGTCTGACATATGAGAGAAGCATGTAATATTTGATTTGTGAACAAATTGTTCTTTTGAGTTGGATTTTTTTCAGTTAATCCATTGATCTGGTTGAAAATAACAGCATGAGTCAGAGTGATATTGTCTCAGGTTCCACTCACTGACTCATTGATCAGAGATCCAATCACAGCAGTTAACAACCCATCGGAGAAAAAAACGACAACATTGTAGTCTGTTTGTCACACAAAGCTGTTGTATGGCTTTAGAACATATAAGTCGTATGGACCAATTTTATGATACTTTTATGGTGGGTTTGCATCCTTTATTGTCTTCTGACAATCAGAGATTTACAGATTTTTTTCGTCTTGTTGATATTATTGTTAGAAAATGCTGCTTACTGCATCATTTTACTGTCGGTGACTCGTCGTGGCATGCATGCAGTGTAGACAGAACCACTGATTATAGTGGTTTCTGTTTGTTTTTCTAGTACCCGGTAAAGACACAGTGTAATCCAGCAATAATAGTGTCCATGTGAGGAAGTGTGCTTTAATTGCAGTATGTTGATAGAAATTGTTGTTCATGGAAATTCCTGTCATTACAAAGCACTGTAAAAGGGTCACAGGACACTCAAATGCTTCAAATTCTGTCTCTGTAGATAGGAAATAGGCCTGGAATTATATGTGTGTTCTTTTCAGTCTTATATATTAGATTATATATTTGACTTTTTTGATTTAGATATTGTCTCATCTCCTTCATAGCAAGGCCAAGGACATCTTTGAGACAGCCCGACCATTGTGGACATCTGGGGCGAGGTGGAGGTCGTGGAGGGGGACATGGAGACCCCCTTCCTCGCACAGGAAGCTTGAGGGACTCCCAGCCTGATGGGAAAGGAGGCAGACCCCACAACACACCCACAAGAAGACCCTCCCTTCCCTCAGAAAGGTGAAAGACTCAAAAACACAAAGCCTGTCAAGTGGAGTCTCAAAAAGTGATAAAATGCAATAAAATAGGTAAAACTTTGCATTATAGCCACATTAAGAGCTACAAATAAATAAGTTAAAGTACTTTGAAATTCCTATATTGAAAGATAAAAAGTACAGCTGACACTTTCTTACGAAAAAGCATCTTTTAAAGTAAGCGCACCTATTGTGTGAGCAGCATTTTGCCGAGCAAGTAGCTGAGAATACAAATCAAGTCCTAATGAGTCAACAGAAACAAGCTCTTTATTTTTTCACTGACTCTTAATTTTCCAGTTTTGCAACTACGTGTCTCTAGCTGTTGATACTGTGTGACTTGATTGGCAATAACAGAGAGCAGTTCAGCTGAATGTTGTCTGAACCTAGTGCTTATTCAGCAATCGAATGAAGGGTGCTGTCTGTGTGTGTGTGTGTGTGTGTGAAATCACTCCAGCCAAAAACCATTGAGAGCAAACAACTGACCTCACTCTTTAGAATTGTGTTCTCTATCGCTTACTGTGGCACACACACAATGGCTGTGAGGGTGGCAGAGTTAAGCGGGTGTACTGGGGTTTGTTAATCTTCCCTCCATTCTCTCACAGATTAGCCATTCTAAACCAGTCCACAATGAATCAGCACTTTCCCTTTGGTACAGGTTGAGGGGGAGTTTGGGTCATCTGACACCTAGAATCATATGCAAAAAGACCTCCACACCCCTGCTTTATCATGCTGCAGCACTTTGCCAAAATGTCTGCTTTTGTCCTTACTATCACCATTGTATTATTTGCTCTATATCCCTCCTGTCTGCTTAGTTTATGAAAACTCTACTAGGCTATTTTGCAGCAGAATTAAGATGACCAATTAATTACACAGATTAGGAGGATAACTCGGCAATAATGGAGTATTAAATTTGCATTTATTTTCATGAATTATTTTTTTCTGTAACATAATCCTATTTTGCATCATTATATTTTCTTTAGTATTTTGATGGACATAAGCGTGAACCAGATTATCAAAAAAAGCAAAAAATGTAGGGTGCCAGCTTGGTTCTGTCCATTGGTTGATGTTTGGGTTTTGAGATATCTTTTCAAGGGAAGATTGAAGTTAAGACATTTTGACAGCATTACACCGTCAAATAAATAAATAAATAAAGATAGGGTGAATTTTCATGCTGACTTTGTTTCGGTGGAATGCCAAAGATGAAGTCATCAAGAGTTAAAACGGAGGTGTCTATTTACACTAAGTGCAAATATCCCGCCTTGTTGGCAGAGGCTATTTACACTAACTCCGCCCACCAACATGTGATTGGGCTAGACAAAATTACAAAAGACAGCTGTCAAAGAACATCTCCATTGGCGTAAGTGGTAAAACGCATAGTGCAGATTTTTGCCGCGATCGACCCGAGTTCGAATCCGCCTTTTGCCGAACTCAATTCTTTTCCCTTTTCACATAACATATCGCATCGGAAAGGCATTAATTTTCAATAATAATGAAGGAAAATAATCGAAAAGTTGAAAATGAAGTATCGGGTAGGGTTAGGGTTGAGCATCCATTTAATAATTTTAATAAAACTTATAATTTACACTCAATACGTTATTATTGCAGACTGTTTTATAATGTACTACAATACTGAGGTGCAGATAATTGCCACTATTTGCAATAAGTAGTATGAATAGCAGAAAATACTGCTATTTTTACATAGTGTGAATAGAAGCTATGGCTATTTGCACTTAGTGTCAATGGCATCTATCACTAAGCAAATACGCTATTTTTGCGTAGTGTAAATAGCATCTTTCTCTAAGAAAATATGCTAATTTTACTTAGTGTAAGTAGCATCTGTTGCTATTTGCACATAGTGTAAATAGCATATATCACTATTTACACTTAGTGCAAATAGCTGATGCCAAAAAAAAAAGGCGTGATTAAAAAATTGTGGACTGAAGTCCCTTCTTATGGACCAAAATGAGAACTGGTTGCTTTTGGTCCACCTAAAGAGATCTGGTTCATTGGAAAGAGTGTTGAATGGCTGTTTTATAATACTGGATACACTCTATCAACAAATGAAATTTTGGGGTAAAAGGTTAGTTAAAATCTTGCAGTATATTAACCAAAAATTTCAGATTTCAAGTTCTCCTTAATATAATCTCATGTTTCCCCCCCCCTAGATCAGACAAAAGAATGACACTTCCCTCCAGATTCCAAAAAGAAGTCCATGCCCATCTCTCCCAAAACCAACAGCAGAGCAATGGTGAGCACATTTTGGGTGGGAAAAGTGTTCAATATGCAGGGTATCTAAACATTTCTCTCCACAAGAAACTCCTTTAAAGGTTATAGTTATCCTGGAGTCTCTAACTTAACTTCCTGTCCCAGAAAACATTCCAGACATGGGATGTTCATTAAGGATGAAAAGAGAACAGTCAACTTCTGTCTCAAGCAGGCAAAAACCTCCCGCTGTTACACAGAGGGATCTCTCAGGACTACATGCCTTCAGTTCTGATGTTGCTATGGGCTATATTTTAAAGTGATAGTTCACCCAGAAAGGGAAAAAAATGTCATAAATGGAAAGTCATATTCTCTTGGGTGAATAAATAATGACAAAATTGCTATAAGACTTAATGAATAGAGTCTGATTCGCTGCAAATTTATTTAGCATCTGTTTATGATTTTATGGTTTTAGTTTATAGTTTGGCAATGCAGTATTGCTAATAAGCTGCAGCATTTATGTTGTTGATATTTCTAGCCCCTTCTATCCTGAATGAAAACACAACTCCATCAAAACCTAGGCTGCCTCATTCTGCGCCTTACAGTCCCAAGCTGGTGCAGTCCCGTCTTAAAGAGGTTCTTAACAAGCACAGCAATGGCCTCTGGGTATCCAAGCTGCCTCAGCTGTATCGAGAGCATTATAAACAAGACCTACCCAGTGAAGCCCTGAAAGACCTGGAACACTGGACGCACATTTGTACTGTAAGTTTACAGATGCCTGATTAGCCTGTCATCTGATGTCATTAGAACACAGTAGCATTATGTGTAATTGTGTCATTAAAGGGATCAAGACATGAGAATCAATTTATGAAAACAAATTGCAACCTTCAGAACTTAAAATATCCTCCCAAGTTCAAAAAGACTGTTTATTGTTATAAGACCATTTTGAAGTCAGAATCCAAACTCATTAACATAATGCACATTTACCTTGTTTTTTTGTTGTTCCTGGCTGTGTGTAGCACCTACAGCTCTGCATATTTGCCAGTTTAATTCTAAGGGTTGGAGAGAGAATTGGAGACAATTCATGTGATTCTCACCAAACTTGGTCAACATTACGCCAAGACACTTGTCCACCTTTTTCTTGTCGTAAAAATGGGCGCGGCCATTTGTAAATTCTATGGGTCTGGCTTCCGGTCTCATCTGCATCCAGCTATTTTTAGCTGTACAAAACAGTTCGTTTTGCTGCTTGATATTGAAAATTGGTGTGTCTTATCATATTATTTTAATGTATTATCTTAATTATGAACACACTGGTTTGTAGTGCAAACAGTTTTACCGTTTACTGCACGTTGTTATTCTCCTCGTTATTTACCTACAGCGGCTAATGAACCGGAAGTCTCACCCATAGGCTTACTTCCGCATTGAAGAAAAAGGTGGATATCTCGAACAGTGTTGTCATGGTGAGGGATTACGTTAATCACAAAAAGGGAAACAGGAATTGGTTGGGAATTGGCTGTTGTAGTTCACAAGTCACAGTGCCACCAGATGGCAGCCAGAAGTCTGCCCAAGTATAGGTTTCTGCAGTACCTTAGGGCTTTGCCCATTCAATTAAGGGCATTCCACAGGCTGTGGGTGTTTGCAACTGCTTTACCTGATTTGCTAACCCACTTGGGGCTAGGTTTAGGGGCATCCAGTATGGTAAAGTGGTTGATAAATGCCCACTGATTAGGAAAGGTCCCGTTTGTTAAGTCGAGACCTCAAACTCAATTGTGCATAAATGATTAATAAATTAGCTCTGTGTATTTGTCTGCAGAATAAAAATGCTGTCTTGTTGTTCGGTTTGCAGGTTGAAAAACCATGCAGTACCAAACCTCAAGAGTTGCTGCTGTACCCTGCTAAAGAAACTAGCCAGATTACCCCACATAGTGCTGCTACACCCCCCACCCATGACAAATCCCCATTTCATCACAAAAAACCTCAGACTCAAAGATCATCTGCCACTTCCAAATCAAGCACTCCGGCATCCCCTAGGGATCTACCACCCGACGTCAAGCAGAAGCTTGGAGATCTGCTCTTGAAATACAGCAGTGGCCTGTGGGCCCACGCTCTGCCTAAACTGTATCAGGACACATATAAATGTAAACTACCGGAGTTTGTGCTGGACCACCTCACCCTGCTTTCAGATATATGCACGATTGACTACCCCATGCCGGACAACCCCAAAAGAGCAATTCTGTATGCAAAAGTAGTAGAAGACGAGAACCGTAACCAGTCGGGATTGGCTGGCTCAGAGACGAAAGAAGCAGTAGAGCGCAGTTTGAGCAGCCAGACTGTTCCTCCTCTTGTCATCCCTAGAGAGGAATACCCTTCTGTCCTGGTGGTGGAAGCAGGTGACACAAACAGCGTCATTCTGAGGTGCGATTTATAATCAATATTCTATAGATCATGAGGGGTGTGACCTTTATCATGCCTTTGCTTAGATTAATCTCAGAGCAGGTTGGATTGGATCAGAGAATAGAATTCTTTGATTGAAGAATTTTTGGAAATGCCCGCTGAGGGAAAATCTGTCAGGCCACTGTAAAAGTTGACGGCCACTGTTGTACTCTTGATGAAGTGTGTTTGTCTGTTTATATGCAGGTACATAGGTGAAGGTTACTCTAAGGCACAGGAGAAGTTAGAAGATGAAATGAGAGAGTTCTATGGGCAAGACAGCAACAAGGTGGCTCTGACTTCACCATTAACAGGTCAGCTGACTGCTGTATGTGCTGAGGAAGAGGAGGAGATCCTCCGAGCACAAGTCTGTGAGGTCATGGCCGACAAGGTCAAGGTGCGTTATGGGGTCATTGAAGAACACTTCTGAACATAATAGAGTAGTGTAGTGGTTCTCAACCTTTTTGACTTTAAGGCCCCACATTATCCAAGACAGTATTCAAAGGCTACCCTGTAGGGTGAGATATTTCTGGTTTTTCTGCTGTAATGACAAAGCTGTTTGTTTTCTTTTTTCAGAAGCTAGGAGTAGGGCTGTCAAAATAGCTGAAAAACTAAATTCGAATTTTTTACTTAAATATGATCAAAATTTGAATTATATTCAAATTTAAAATGCATAATTCCAGTTAGGGTGAAGAAAAGCTTTTGGGTTCTCTCCTGAGGCCACAAGTGGGCGCATCGAGCAAAATATTACTAATGCACGTTTATTCAAAGTGCATAATGTTTATAAACCAATTGTAATTAAGTTGCTTAAACAACTATAAACAAAACAGCATCATGTATGTATGTATAGTTTAATACAAAGGACCGAAAACCAATCACATAGAGTGCTTTTTTCACTTGAAAACATGAGATGCAGTGGGATGGGAAAAACCCCGCCATAAGTCTCGAGATATGTTTTTTCAAAGTTAAACTTTGTATTAATTTTGCATGGCTTTCTAAACATGCGGCTCTTTTGTGCGAGATGCGAGTGCAACGGTGATAGATGTCCCTCTAGAAAATGCACGAAATATGTGTTCTGTGTGAACGGCTTGGTTTTAGTTTTGATGTAAACAAGATCTTCTCTGCATTGATGTTCTCCTTTTCCGCAATATTTTTAATGAACAACGCAGCAGCGCTGCATCTAGTGGCTTCAACTGATAGACTAACAAAAACATTA